GAATATAATCCTATGAAGGGGGAAATGTACATTTAACGAAATAGAGGACCTTCCAGGCATTTCTCACAAAAAGACCCAAATAGAATAGGAAATATAATAATCAAACACAAGACCAGAGAGATGCATAAAAAGGAAAACATGAGTGAGAAATAATGAGGAATTTAATAAGCTTAAACTGTTTACATTCCCAAATGGAAAGATGAAATGTGTCACTCCCCAAAATTTTATCATTAGGCCAGTTAGAGGGAGTCTACTCAGAGGACATGTGTGAGTTAATTATGCTAAGATGATCTAAAAAAAAAACATGGCAGGCTGAGAAAGACAGAGATACTGAGAAAAGAAGAAATTAAGAGGAAGAATAGAGAGAATTATCTCACATAAAAGAGGTATGCAAGGAAGAGCTGGAGGAGAAAATGGGTGGGGGAAGCAGGCAATGCTTGAATTTCATTCTAATCTGACCTGCTTTAAGAACGCAGAATACAAGAATACACAAATACACACACACACACACACACACACACACACACACACACACACACACACTCTCTCTCTCTCTCTCTCTCTCTCTCTCTCTCTCTCTCTCTCTCTCACCGGGTACCGGCCGAAATCCATCTTATCTAACAGGGAAATAGGAAGAGAAAAGGATAAGAGGTAAAAAAAAGGGGAGGATGATAAGAGGGGGGGCAAATTAAGGGAGGCTGTGGTCAATGCAAAACAGACTTTAAGAGGGACAAGGTTAAAAATGAGAGAGAAATGGAGAAACAAAAGAAAATAGCATGGAGAAAACTACTCAGTAATCGTAACTGTGAATGTGAAAGAGATAAATTCACCCTAAAATTGCCATTGACAGCAGAATGGATTATAATCCAACCATAGAATCCAACAGTATACTGTTTAGAAGAAACATACTTTAAACAGAAAGATATACACAGAGTTATAATAAGGGGCTGGAGCAGAATCAATTATGCTTCAGCTGAAGTAAAAAAGGTAGGGGTAGCAATCATGATCTCAGATAAAGTAAAAGCAAAAACAGACAAGATAAGCAGGAAAAGCACAACAACGAAAAAGATTCAATACTAGACAAATATGCACCAAATGGCAAAGCATCCAAATTCTGAAAGGAAAAGTTAAATGAGTTATAAGAGGAAATAGTAAAACTATACCAGTGTGAGAACCTCAATTTTCCCTGCTCAGAACTATATAAATCTAACCATAAAATGAAAAACAAAGATGTTTAAGGAGATGAATAGAATTTTAGAAAAGCTTGATATGATCCACCTCTAGAGAGAAATGGGAACAGAAAGGAATATATCTTTTGCTCAACCGTACATAGCACTTTCACAAAAATTAACCACATTTAGGGTATAAAAACCTCACATACAGAAACAGAAACATTAAATGTATCCCTTCCAGATGATGTGATTTCTAAAAAATTACATTCAATAAAAGGGCCTTGGAAGCACAGATTAAAAATCAATTAGATATTAAATAATCTAATCAGAATGAGTAGGTCAAAGAACAAATCAGAAAAAAATCAATAATTTCAGTAATGGTAATGACAATGAGACAAGGAATGCAGCTAAAGCAGTGCTTAGGGTTAAGTTTATATCTCTAAATGTTTATATAAATAAAACAGAGAAAGAGCAAGTTAATGAATTGAGCATGCAACTAAAGAAAAAATTGAAAAAGAACAAAGATTCCTCAATTAAACATCAAAGATTCATAAAAATTGATAATTAAAAAAAATCCACTGAACTAATAAATAAAACTTAGAGCTAGTTTTATGAAATCAATGAGATGGGTAATCGGTTAATTTGACTAAAAAAGAGAGAAAAACACAAATACCAGCATCAAAAATTAAAAAGATAAATAACGCACATACAAATTATTAAGAGCTATTTTGCCCAGTTATGTGACAATAAACCTGACAATCTAAATAAAATGGATGAATATTTTAAAAAATACAAACTGCCCAAGCTGAACAGAAGTAAAATACTTAAATAACCCTATCTTAGAAACAGAAATTGAACCAGCCATAAATGAACCCCCTAAGAAAAAAATCTTCAGAACCAGAAAGATTTACAAGTGAATACTACCAAACATTTGAACAATTAATGCCATTACTATAGAAACTGTTTGCAAAAATAATTAAGAGTCCTACACCAAATTCCTTCTATGACACAAATATGATTTTGTTACCTAAACCAGAAAGAACAAAAACAAAGAAAAAAGCCATTAAAGCAATATATCACAAAGATCATATACTATGACCAAGTGGGACTTAAACCAGGAATGCAGGGCTTGTTCATTATTAGGAAAACTGTAAGCGTAACTGGCCATGTCAATAACAAGAAAAACAAAAATGATATTATATCAATAGATGCAGAACAAGCTTGTGACAAAATATAACACCTGTTTCTTTTAAAAACAACAACAACAACAACAACAACACTAGGAAGTACAGAAATCAATGCAGCTTTTCCTAAAATGGTAAGTAGTATCTACCTTAAACAAAAAACAAGCATTATCTGTAATGGGGATAAACTAGAAGCTTTTCTAATAAGATGGGGGGGTGAAATAAGTATGTCAGCAATAACACAACTAGAAATCAAAGAAATAGGAAAGGGAACTACAGGTACAAAAATATTTATAGCAACTCTTTCTGTGGTGGCAAAGATTTGGAAATTGAGGGGATGACCATCAATTTGGGATTGGCTGAAAAATTTGTGGTATACAACTTTGATGGAATACTACTGTGCTGTAAGAAATGATGAAGGGGATGATTCCATAAAATCCTGAGAAAATTTACATCAACTGACACAGAATGAAGTGAGCAGAGCCAGGAGACCATTGCACAAAGTAACAGCAATATTGTAACAATGATCAATTGTGAAAGACTTAGCTCACTAATCAATACAATGATCCATGACAACTGCAAAGGACTCCTGATGAAAATATATTTTTTTCCACTTTCTTTATCTTGTCTTTTTGGGGGGGGGGGAGGGCAACATGACGAATATGGAAATATGTTCTGCATGACTTCAAATGTACAATAAGCATTGTTTTGCTTGCCTTAATGGCTGGGGGGAGGAGGCAGGAGGGAGAAAATTTGGAACTAAAGGGGGGCAGCTAGGTGGCGCAGTGGATAGAGCACCAGCCCTTAAGTCAGGAGGACCCGAGTTCAAATGCGGCCTCAGACCAAACACTTGACACTTACTAGCTGTGTGACCCTGGGCAAGTCACTTAACCCCAACTGCCTAAAACAAAACAAAGAAAAAATTTGGAACTAAAGATAATTTTTTTAAAATGTCATATACTTTGGTTTTTGTTGTTTGTTTGTTTGTTTTTAGGCAATTGGGGTTAAGTGACTTGCCCAGGGTCACACAGTTAGTAAGTGTCAAATGTTTGGTCTGAGGCCAGTAAAAATAATTTTTAAAAAGAAAATAACCTTAAATGATATACTTTAAAATAAAAGTTATACATAAGATTCATATAATCCTCATTTTCTCTATTTTGTATATGTTCATTTTATTTGGTATTTAATATCATAATGATGCTCTATTGCTTTAAGCTACACTTCAATACATCTTTTAATACAACATTCCTTCTCCCACTCTTGATTATTTAAGCTACACACTCTCTTCTGTTTTCTATTCCATTCGGTAACCCAAAAGAATTTTATTGTGATTAGTGCTTCAACAACTGGAAGTTATATCTAGAATTTCAGTGTTGATGAGTTTCTTCTACCAATTAATGTCTACTAAGGTTGGTTCAAAGATAGCATCAATTAAGTCGCTCAAAATGAAATATCAACATCTCACAACCTCATAAGAATTTGACCAGCATCAGGGAAACATGAAAACCTAAACCTAAACTTCAACCTAAACTTATTATCAATGCAAATCAAGAAACCACCATTGTATCTGCTTACTTTGGCCACACACTATCATTCAGTAGTTTTATTTCAGAGGCTTACATTAAAAATTAAGCAGCTGCAGAGTATTACCTTTTTAAATAATTAAAATTGTCTTAAAAGTGAAATAACTGCTATCTATAAATTATAAATAAAGCTGCCTCATAAGCAAATGAGTTGCTCATCACTGAAGGTCTTCAAACAAAATCTTTGTAACCATTTATGGGATGTTTTACAAGAGGATACTTCTTTTAGGTATGGATGGACTATAAATCTCTGAGGTCTCATTCAACGGCATGATTTTGCAATTCTACATAAAATAAAAAAAATTCTGTCATAATAACCTATCTAAACCAATTTCATACAGTTATGATCTATGAAAATATCTTTTATTCTTAGAGACAAAAATTGTGTTTTTCAATGCTGAGAATTACAATCATAAATATTCACTTTAAACAGACAACTTTCTCTTATTTCACTGGCTACTGAAAAAACACACGCTTTACAGGCTATTTTAAATTGGCTAGAACATTAGTTTCTTAGCGACAGTTATAATGTAATATTACTAAACAATTTGAACAGAAAATAAAATTTCATCCATCTCACCTAAAAAGCCTTAACTTTAAAACAATAACAATGCTTATACATATTTGTAATAAAAGTTATATAGAAACACATTTTTCTCCTTAGTTCACAATATCAAAACCCAAAAGTATACAAAATTCAAAGAACCTCAGAGAACGAAAAACTCATATTTTTAACACTTGCACCATCCTACCACACAAATATTACAGGGGGGAAGTTATGGCAATAAGCTTACATTCAATCTCCTAGAGAGCATAATTCTAAGAACCAAAAAGCATAACTTTATTTTACTAATTTGTAAACTTGAATATTTCAATTCAGTCCAATATAATAATTCAGCTGAATTATGACCCAAGGATAATTTTATAAGATATCTAAGAACACTTTTCCCATAAGCCTAGGAAAAACCTCAGAAGAGTCTAGGACATTCAAGCTTACTTGCCAATTTGTTTGCAATCATTCAGGTCAGCACTCATTCAAACACACTTCAAAAGCCTGATACCTTCACAACAGGATGTCCTCCAGTAGATGCTTTTACTGCACCACGGCTCCCTTCAGTTTCATAGTGGGCTCGATGATGGGTTTTAGGTTGTACTTCTATTTTCAGTTCACATTGTCCAAAATGAGTTGGTAAAGGCCAGTCTAGAGGAGGCAATGAGGATGTGCTACAAAGAAAACACAAAGGTGAGTATTGCTTTACCATTACCAAAAGAAAGAAATTATTTTGCCAATGCCAGCATTTCAAATTAACTGGTCTCAAACAAAGTATTTAAAAAATAAAAACTGTGTTAAGCAAAATCACTTATTTAAAATAACAAAAACTATAGTTGCCCTCCCATTTTCCAGCTGTTTTTTACTATTAGAAGAAAATGGCCAATTCTGACCTTTGAACAGCTTCTGAACTATAAATTTTTTAAAAAATAACACCCAAACCCTTCTCTGTACAAGTCTATCATTTTCTTGGTAAAAATAGTGAGAAAACTTTCTCTACCAATTACTAATTTGTGATTGCCACTTAGAGGCTTAAAGAGTTGTCTGGATTAAATGACCTGCCCAGTCATATAGTTAGTTATGTGTCAGAGGTAAGACTTGAGGTGGGTCTTCCTGACTTTGAGACCACCTTTCACCCAATACACACAATGGAGTTTACAGGTTGGCAGCTGTGTTAGTGAAGAAAAGGGAAAGAATCTAAAATATGGTGTGAGGTTACAAACTCTACATGCAACTTTGATCCCAACTGCAACACAACCTCTCTACAGATTGCCCCCACTTATCTCCTTCCCCATCCCTTCTCTCTACTTTCCTCTCCCCTGCCTACCCTCTCTTCTCTCTCTCGTCCTTCAATCTCTTCATATCTACTGAGTTCTAGAAAAAGCTATGTGTGCTATCTCCCTCCTTTTTTATAAAATCATTTTTATCTTTTAATTATCTATGTATATCAAACCATGAGTCTCCACTTTATAGTACTTTTTTTCTTAAAAAAGTACAGTAAATTCTACACATTACTTTCAAAATTGTTCTGTTGGTCATTACTTCCTTCTGCCCTCTAACGTGCATGTAAAAAATGTTTCAATGGTCATTTGTAGGAATCTAAACGCCCTAACTAAAAACTCCTCCCCCAATTAAAAACTGAGGGAAAAAATTTGAATAACAACTCTATTCTGAGAACAATTCACAGTTTGATATAGAATCTTCTTTTTGCGTTTGGTTGTATGTAGTAAGGCTCTTTTTAAAGTGTTTACTAAATAGAGAATGAAAAAATAAGAACTATTCAAAAAAATAAAAAAGTTGAAGAAGTGAGCACAGATAGCTTTTTCCACAGAAATATGGCTACAAAAGAAAACAGAGAAATTATAGCTTGGACGGACAGTAGAGTCAAGTGAAAGTTTAGGAATAAGGAAGATCTGGGCATTTTCAAAGGCAGCAAAGAAAGAACCAGGGAATAGGAGAGCTTAAAAATTAGAGGGGGGACAACTATTAAAAGGCAAAGCTCCGAAAGAACGATGAGGTACATGAGATCAAAAACATAAGCACAAGGTCTGGTGTTGGCAAGGACCACCTCATCCTTTGTAGCTAAAAACAAAGGAAGACTGGAAGAGAGCAGGCCTTAAGGGCAATTGAATTGGCAGAGCCAGCAAAGGCGTCTAGAGCTCTCAGCCCACAGATGGTAAGAGGGCTGGACAACTGGTCAGAAGGAGATTACAAAGGTTCCTTTGCTGGTACTAGGGAAAGGATTCTGTTGCATTGCCAATACAAGGATCTATAGTTCCAAGGGAGGAAGGAGCACCAGCACACCAGAGCTTGTGGCCTCAGGGGAGCAGGGACCATGATCACAGTTTCAAGACAGAAAACAGTGCTTGTGTCACTCACAGACCAGAGCACAGGCTAGGAGAGGAATAAACACACCTCTCCTTAGATCACAGAACTTTAAAAGAACTGAAAATTTACAGACTCCCAGAACCAGCTCTGAAAACAGCTGAACAAAAACCTGAAATTTGGAAAGTGTCCCCTCCACCCCAGAAGCAGAGCCGAACTTTAATATGAAATTAAAAGTCAAGAAATAGGCTGGGAAAATGAGAAGAAAAAAAAAGATCCTGATCACAGAAAGTTACTATGGTGACAAGGAAGATCAAAACAAACTCAGAAGACAACAAAGCCTCAAAGAAAAATATGAATTGGTCTGAGGCCCAAAAAGAATTCTTAGAAAAGCCCAAAATGGATTTTTTAAATCAAAGAATAAAAGTAGAGAAAAAAATTGGAAAACTAAATAAGAATGATGCAAGAAAATCATGAAAAGAGCCAACAGCTTGGTAAAAGAGGCACCAAAAAATACTGAATGAAATAACACCTTAAAAAAACAGACTAGGCCAAATGGTAAAAGAGGCAAAAAAAAAAAAAAAAATCCAAAGAAGAGAAGAATGCCTTAAGAAGCAGAATTGGCCAAATGAAAAAAGACATACAAAAATTAACTGAAGAAAAAAACGCCCTAAAAAGTAGAATTGACCAAATGAAAAAGGACGTACAAAAGCTCATTGAAGAAAATAATTCCTTAAAAACTAGAATTGAGCAACTAGAAGCTAATGGCTCCATGAGACATCAAGAAACAATAAAACAAAATTAAGCCAATGAAAAGATAGAAAAAAATGTGAAATACCTCATTAGAAAAAACAACTGATCTGGAAAACAGATCAAGGAGAGAAAATTTTAGAATTATAGGACTACCTGAAAGTCATGAACAAAAAAAGGGACTAGACATCACGCTTCAAGAAATTTCAGGAAAACTACCCTGATATTCTAGAACAAGAGGGTAAAACAGAAACTGAAAGAATCCACCAAGCACCTCCTAAAAGGAGTCTCAAAATGAAAACTCCCAGGAATATGATAGCCAAATTCCAGAGCTCCCAAGTCAAGGAGAAAATACTGCAAGCAGCCAAAAACAACAATCTAAATATCATGAAGTTACAGTCAGGATAACACAGGATTTAGCAACTTCTACATTAAAGGAGCAAGGGCTTGGAACATGATATTCTGGAGTGCAAAGGAGCTAGGATTATAACCAAAAATCACCTACCCAGCAAAACTGAGCATAGTCCTTCAGGGAGAAAAATAGATATTCATTGAAACTGAGGACTTTCAGGCATTCCTAATGCCTGAATTACTTTCAAATACAAGACTCAAGAGAAGCATAAAAAGGTAAAAAGTTAAGAGACTCATAAGGTATTCAATAAGGTTAAATTGTTTACATTCCTATATGGTAAGATAGTTTATAACTCCTAAGTACATTATCATTATTGAAGCAATTAGAAGGCATCTGCATAGACAGAGGTCATAAGAATGAGTTGAATATGATGGGATGATTATCTTAAAAAATAAAATTAAAGGCTGAGAAAGAGAAATGCACTAAGAGAAGTGGAAATGGAGAGATGGAGTAAATCATCTCACAAAAAAGACACAAAAGAGCTTTTACACTGGAGGGGAAGATGGGCATGAACCTTACTCTTGTTGGAATTAGCTCAAAAAGGAAATAACATAAACACTCAGTTGGGCATAAAAATCTTATCTTACCCTACAGGAAAGTAGAAGAGGAAGGAGATGGAGGGGAGGGGTAGCGGATAAAAGAGAAGGCGAATGGGAGAAGGCAGTAGTTAGAAGCAAAACACTTTTGAGTATGGCCAGGGTAAAAGGAGAGAGAGACTAAGATAAATTGAAGAAAACAGAACGGAGGGAATACACAATAATCATAACTGAAAAAATTTTTACAGTATATTTCTCTGATAAAGGCCTCATTTCTCAAATATATGAGTCAAATTTATAAGAATACAAGTCATTTGCAAATCAATAAATGGTCAAAGGATATAAACAGGCAGTTTTCAGAAGAAAAAATGCTCTAAATCACTACTGATTAGAGAAATGCAAATTAAAATAACTCTGAGTTACCACCCCACACCTGGGGAATGGCAGAGCAAATTGTGGTATATGATTACAATGGAATACTATTGTACTACAAGAAATGACAAAGCAGGATGCTCTCAGAAAAACCTGGAAAGACTTACATGAACTAACGTAAACTGAAATGAATAGAACCAGGAGAACATTGTACACAGTAACAGCAATATTGTATGATGATCAGCTGTGGATTACATGGCTATTCTCAGCAATACAATGATCCAAGATGAAAAAATGCTATTCCTTTCCAGAGAAAGAACTAATGGAGTCTGAATGGAAATCAAAACACCCTTTTATTTTTAACTTGTTTTTTTGGTCTCTGTTTTCTTTCACAACATGACTAATATGGAAATATGTTTTACATGACTGCACATGTATAACCTATATCAAATTGTTTGCCTTCTCAATGAGGGGGGAGGAAGGGAGAAAATTTGGAACTCAACATTTTTTTAAAATGTTAAAAATTATTTATATGTGTAATTGGGGAAAATATAAAATATTAAATAAAATAATAAAAGCACCATGAGAAGAAAAAGAAGAGGAAGAGAAGGAAGAGAAATTGATAACAAGTTTGTAGTTGGTGATGAACTAGACACTACTCAATATATAAGGGCAGCTAGGTGGCACAGTGGATAGAGAGCTGGGCTTAGAGTCAGGAAGACTCACCATCCTGAGTTCAAATCTGGCCTCAGATACTGACTAGCTGTGTGACTGCAGACAAGTCATTTAACCCTGTCTCCCTCAGTTCCTCATGCATGGATAACTGGCAATAATGAAATATACTTTCCTATGACAAAGGTAGAAATAGTGACTTTAAACAGTTTACTACACACAGCAAGTGATCAATAAATGTCTTCTGAATTTAGCTTTCAAGAACAGAATATCAGAATAACAAAAAATGAATGACACTAATAAATGATAAAACCCTAGGGCTGTATCCCAAAGAGATCATAAAAAAAGGGGAAAGGACCCACATGTACAAAAATATTCATAGCAACTCTTTCTGTGGTGGCACAGAATTCGAAATTGAAGGGATGCCCATCAACAACTGGGGAATGGCTGAACAAGTCGTGGTATATGAATGTAATGGAATACTGTTGTGCTATAAGAAATGACGAGCAGGCGGATTTCAGAAAAACCTGGAAAGAATTACATGAACTGATGCTGAGTGAAGTGAACAGAACCAGGAGAACACTATACACATTAACAGCAACACTGTGTAATGATCAACTACGACAGACTTAGCACTTCTCCACAATACAATGATCCAAGACAATTTCAAAAGAGTCACAATGGAAAATGCTATCTATATCTAGAGAAAGAACTACGGAATCTGAACACAGATTAAAGCATACTATTTTCATTTGTTTTCGTTTTTTTCTTTCTCATGGTTCTCCCTTTTTATTCTGATTCTTTCACAACATGACTAATGTGGAAATATGTTTAACATGATTGTACATGTATAACCTATATTAAACTGTTTGCTGTCTTGGAGAAGGGGAAAGAGAGGGAGGGAGAAAAATGTTAAACTCAAAATCTTATAAAAATGAATGTTGAAAACTACCTTTACATGTAATTGGAAAAAATAAAATACTACTAAATGTGGAAAAAAAAGGTAACACCATCTGAATGTTCAGATCACAGGAGGCAGAAATACTACTCTACACAGGTCAGAATGTTTCTATAGAATTGTGGGGGCAGGTAGGTGGCACAGATGATAGAGCATCAGCCCTGAAGTCAGGAGGACCCGAGTTCAAATCTGACCTCGGACCAAACACTTGACATTTACTAGCTGTGTGACCCTGGGCAAGTTAACCCCAATTGCCTCCAAAATTAAAAAAAAGAATTGTGTGCTTTATTATAAGATAATGAAGACTGTAATATCTATTGCCTAGATGTCAACATGCTTTTGGACACTCTTATACAGCTTGTCTAACAGTATGTACATGTGTGACAGACAGTAAAGATCGATAATAAACTGGGCCCAGAGTTGAAAAGGAGGAAAGAAGGATAGAATGCTTTCAGGAAACTTCAAAACTATTTTTCTGAACCAAGGATTCCCATGAAAGCAAGATTTTAGTGGTGCTGCACTGTAGCAGTGAGTATACAACACCACTGCCTCTGAAGAGGCAATATGAGTATTGAAGGAATTGTGGGAATTGGGTGAACCACAAGGATATCATCTTGGGACTCAATTCTGGATCTAGCTCAGTGCCCTTTCTATTCAATTATGGGTCTAGTCCAGTTTCTATCCTATGAGAAAATTTCATTCAATTATAGGAACTGGGAGAAAATCTTATTGCATTGTCTGAACCCAGCCCCACATGGCTGGGCTACCTCTACCTGCTGCTTAGAGACCTTTAACTAAGGACCTAGGTTATGCTGACCAGAAACCTGGTCAGATCCAAAGACTGAAGCAAGGAATTTTCTTACAATTATATATCTCAAGCAACCCATGTGACCCATATGACTTATCTGAAGACTGGCAACATATTGGTTAATCAGTTATTGTTTCCGTGTCCTTTCTGACTAAACGCAGTCACTTCGGGGGAGTGGGGCACCTCTTCTTCTGATTTCAGGAACTGAACCTATTCACCCTCCCCTTTCCAGTTCACAAAGTCTTTAATCTTTCCTCCAATTAGAAATCAGATTACCTAATGTTATATTCTGGCTAATCATTTCCTTTTAATTAATTAAGTCTTATTTGACTGTTTTTAATGCATAAAAATTAATCTCCTCCTGTATTCAGGATCCAATACCAAAGCTGAGGAAGGCTGGGTCCCAATTTGCTATGCAATTAGCATTCACTGTTTAATAAATCAATATACTTGGAAGCTTGAACCTTTGTTTCTTGTCATTTCATCTTTTACCTGCTACAGTTATCACAGAGAGCAATGGAGAGGCCAGTAATGGGTATAATAAGGTTACAACTGTAACCATCATGATATTCCGAAGTACACCAGGGAATTATAAGACAGGACAAGAAGAAGGGGTGGTCACACGGCAAGAGAGATGACAAGTGAATGACCAGAGCATTACATGGGTAATCTCATGATGTAGGAAGACATCAAAGAAGGATGCCACAGCAAGTTGGGTACACTCTCACCCCTTCTGGGAGATCATGAACAAGAAGATGCAAGATGACTAGACAAGAACGGGTTATGATATGCATTAATGAATAGAATTCTCAATTCAATGAGATCACAGATCTCGTTGAATATGAGTATTTGATGAAGGATATTAACAAAACAAAACAAAATGTGTCCAGAGAAAGAAAGTTAAGGTTCCAGAAACCAAGGCCCCCAATTGAAGTAAATGGGCTGTGAATATGATTCAGTGTCACATCACTGGATATTCAAGCAAAGGATGGATATTCACCTGTCAGTGAAATTGTAGAAGGGGGATCGGGCATAATGTTGGACCAGATAACGTCTAAATTCTCTTCCAACTCTAAATATTCTATGACTAAGAAACAAAAAGATGGATAATTTTAAGAAATATGGATGCTTTTCAAACAAACTGCGGGCATAATCAACTGGTAGGCCAAAAAGAGCCAAAAATGGCTAAAACTGACAACTAGAGATGCAGCTAGACAAGCCATAAGAAGTAGAAATCATACCAAATAATATGGAACATAAGAAAACAGCATAATTATATAGGGTTAGCATCACACAAACAAGAAAAGGATATAGTTATTGCTGGTATAAATTATAACAATTATATTATCAATTGATAAAGAGCTAGGTCTAGAGTCAATTAGAGCCAAGTTCAAATCCAGCTTCAGACACCAGCTATATAAGCCTGGGCAAGTCACTTAATATCTGATATGTCTCAGTTTCCTCAACTGTAAAAATAAGAGCAATAATAGCACCTACCTCACAGGGTTGTTTCAAGGATCAAATGAGATAATATTTGTAAAAAGCATTTATCACTGTGCCTGCCACATAGGAGCTATATAAATATTAATACCCTTTCTCTTATGAAGAAACCAACAGAATTTTGTGCAAGCAAACTATTGTATATGATTTAGAAGCACAGAAAGTGTAAGTCATCTTTTTTTATAGGTCATATAGACTAGGAGGTAAACAGACTTGAGGAAGTTTTATGTCTGCCCACTTACGAAACATGTTCCTTGGATGGTGGAATTCTTGAGGCCTACTTAATTCAGAATACATTAATGTGTAAGAGCTAAGTGGTAATTACTTTGCCACATTCAATATTGATCAAGTGCCTATTAAACTACCACCGCCCACTTTTTTTAGTTTAGTTTTTTAAGTGTATATAATATATATATATATACACACACATACACATATATACACATATATACATACACATATATTTTAAGTCTATTCAGCAAATGTGAAAGGAACTATGCAAGGTCCTGGAAACTCAAGAGACACCAAATGCAACAGTCTCTGACAACAAGGAGGATACAACACGCATATGGACAAATCAAAGGAGGAAGAAGCGTAATCACAGAGAAGATAGGGATGAGGGGGCAGCGGGGGAGGTGTGAAGTTTGAATATTTGAAATTTGGATAGTTTGAAGGAAGATCAAACTTCTGAATGGTGTGAAGGCATGTGAGGCCTCCAGGATGGCTGAAGGAAGGCTCCAAAGCAAGAAGTGGACTGCTAAGTTCAAAGAACACTTCATAGCACAAATTGGCTGGAATGTAAAGGGATGAAGAGGACTAATAGGAATTAAAGTGGAAAAGCAAAATCAGAGACAGAAAGGTGATGGTGCTAAAGTGAGGTGAAGGGGTCTACATTTTTATTCTAGCGACAACAACAGTGAAAACTTTTAAAGGGAGGATGAGTGGAATGGGCTGTGTGTACAAGGGGGTGAAAGAAAGTGACTGCACACATTAGGGCCTGGAGAAGGTTCTTTTTGCAGCTCTAGAAAGAATGGCTAAACAGGGGAGAGAGGGGAAGCGCAGGCCCTAAGTAGGAGGTCATTACAATAGTCTGGGTGAAAAATGATGGGCACTGGATTAAGAGGGTGGTTATGGGAGTAGATAAGAAACAAATACAAGAACTGGGGTAGAGGCACGACATAAAGTTTAGAAAAAGCAAGAATATTGTTAATAGTAAAAGAAATGTCACTCATGAAGTTTTGTAGCCTGGAGAAAAGGCTAAGGGATTTATCACCTGTTCTGAAGCATATGAAAATTTATATGGCCAACACAAATCAGTTTTATTTCCAAAAAAGGATAAAGTAAGTGATAGGGAAGATAAACTATAACATAGAATAAATTTCTTTATTTTCAGAGTGATTAAACACTAAAGAAGTTTACCGAGGGAGATTATGACACCTCTCTACTATATCTGAAATATTTTTTTAAAAAGAAGATGCACAGAATTGAGAAGTCTGAAGTAATGGGAGTTGAGAAGATGGGTTCAAGGCCTTCCTCCAAACACAGACCAGTTGTGTAACCACAGACAAGGACTTAACCACTCAAGAGTCCCAAGAATCTTTCAAAGCATGCAGTGTTTTTTCCACACTGTAAGTTTCTCACATGTATTAAAAACCACAGATCCATACCAACTCCATGCCATTCTACCCTCCCAAGCATTTTTTTTTAAACCAAGGTTAATTGAGCCATGAAGAAAAAAATACTAGTCAAGGGACACATGAGTATAAAGTATAAAAAAAAACTTCCAAGGAACATGATGCTAAAATATACATTTCAGTTCTATATTATAATTAGTTAATGGGAAAGGGAGAAAAGAATTGACAAGGGAAACAGATAAATGGAAATGAAGAAAAACAGAAGGGGAGGGAGAAAAGTGGTAGAGAAAGACAAAGAAGTATAAATAAGAGAGAAGAGTTACATATTTTCCACTAAGTTCTGATAAGATAAAGTGTTTGTCCCAAATGTTCATTTGTCAAAGGTTAGAGAACTATCTAGTAGTAGAGATCAAATCAGAACTCCACCAATCTAACATCCTATCACCAAAATCATTATGTCTCACACCACAGTATAATCTGTCTGTCATTTAAATATTCTACAATTATGGCTACCCAAAAAAATACCAAAACCACCCCAGAACACCTTAATAAAAAAATTAACTGGATTTTACATTAAGTGAACGCATAATATATAACTAATTTATTCCTAAGAAGAAATCAAATGTACTTGTTTGTATTCCCTTACCGAAATATGGGGGTATGGCCAGGCTTTGGTTTATTCCAGGTAAAGTGCGAAGGAACTGAGAGAAATTGGTCACTAGACAAATCTTTCTTTAAAGGATGCTGAGACCCAGGGCTATCATCTATGGTAGTCTCTAGGGATGGTGATAAATTTCCTTGGTCATCTGAACAAACATCTATTTTTCCTGGCAAAGTGGCAGTTTGATCCTCAGAAGTCTTTCTTGTTTTTAGAGGGATGTCAGTCTCTACACAGCACTGAAACGAAAAGTGTGCAGGACTCAGGCTCTGCACACCATGGAGAGAAGTACTTAGCCATGTGTCTTCTGTTATACTCCCCCTGGGAGAGTGACCAGGAGAGTGAGTTGGTGAATGATGAGGTGAGAGTGAACCAGCGTAACAAATCTCAGCACTGGAGTGTCGTCGCTTCCCACATGGGGAGGTAGGTCTTGATGAAGGTCTGGATGTTGGTCTAGGGCTAAGCCAATTTTCATCAGTGATACTAGTTCTAGGAGAATGACAAGGAGACTGTCTAGGCGATAACGAGTGTCCAAATCCATACTGTTGTTGCCAAGATTCGTCACCAGGACAACCTCTTGGAGAACCACCAGGAGAAGCTAACGGAGACCCAAGTGTAAATCGGGCAGCAGCTTCGTTGAGCTCAGACTCCACATCATCATAAACATGAGAGACAGACTCACAAGAAGAAGCATCTGAGAACCAGCTCCTGGAAGAGATGCTGCTGGCTGGGCTTGGACTGAGGGATGAGTCTCTGTACGATGGCTCAAGAGGAAGATAGAGGTGATCCCTAGAAGGTCTTTCCAAAGAATCACCTTCTGAGCCATTTGTGTGCAGTCCATCTTCATGAGCATCTATTCCTTGATGACAGCTGGGAGAAATGGATGTAATTTGAATACTAGGGCATTCAAAGGGTTTGGGACCACCTAGTGGACTATACTTAGATTCAGGAATCTCACAAATTCCTTCATAGTTTTTGTGACCTTGCAGCTGAAGAGGTGGTGACAAAACGGAGGTGTGAGACTGTAATCCATGGTGAGGAATACAAATTGGCTGGTTTACAGTTGATGGAGATTGATCTACATTAAAGATGTAAATGGATGCACAGTCAGCTGGTTCAGTATCTGGCAGGGAAAGAAAAAAAAAAACACAATGACTACAAATAATGTAAATGAGAAGAACATAAAAAATGAAGCTGAATGCTTATTAACTGTTATAACAATTGTGGTTCCCAAAGAATAGAATACTTCCTTTCTGTAGAGAAAGGGGACTACAGGTATGGAATGTTGTACACAATTAAAGACACAGTCACTATAGTCAGCAGATGGCTGTACTTAGCTATTTTTCTTTGTTACAAGGAAGAACTCACAGAAAACTGGAGGAAGAGAGAGGGAGATAATCATTTGATGTAAGAACAAAAGTCATCGATAAAACTTTTAGAAAGAAACTGAAAAGGGACAGAGTCTCACAGAAGATAAAACGGACAAGTTTGATTGCATAAAATTTACACGTTTTGTACAAACAAAACCAATGACGTAAAATTAGAAGGGAAATGGGTAACCAGGAAAAAATCTTTGCAGAAATTTGTCTGATAAATGTCTCATATCTAAGATATATAAGAAATCGATTTAAATTTATAAAAGTAGGAACTATTCCAGTAGTAAAAGATATAAACAGGCAGTTTTCAAATGAAGAAATCCAAGCTATTTATAGACATATAAAAAATACTCCAAATCACTAATAGAGAAATGCAAATTAAAGCAACTTAAGGTTCTACTTCACACATGCATCACTTTGGAAAAGATGACAAAAGGGAAAATGACAAACGTCAGGGGGACTATGGGAGAACAGGAATGCTAATGCACGGCTAGTAGAGCTGTGAAGTAGCACAGCCATTCTGAAAAGCAATTTGAAACTATTGCCCCAAAAATGATCAAACTGTACTTGCCCTTTGACTCAGAAATACCATTAGCAGGCTTGTACCTTAAAGAGAACAAAGTAAAAAGAAAATGGATCCATGTGTACAAAAATATGCATGGTAGCTCTTTTCATGATAAAGTAAGGTGATACCCACCTATGGGGCTAAATGATGATATATGAACATAATGGAATATTATTCATAATGCCATGAATGTAATGGACTGTTGCAATGGGAAAAAAACTGGCAATTTCAGACAAAACTGGAAAGAATTTTATAAACTCATATAGAGTGAAATGAACAGAAACAGGAGAACAATTTACAAAATGACATCAGCATTAAAGAGAAACAACTTTGAAAGACTTTAGAACTCTTGTAATGAAATGATAAATTACAATTCCAGAGTAATGATGATAAAGTAAATTAGCCACCTCCTTCCAGAGAAGTGATGGACTTAAAAATGCAGAATAAAGCATATATTTTGGACATGGACGTTTACTACATGGACATGTAGTAAATTATTTCCTTTGAGTATGCCGATTTGTTAATGAGGGTTTTCTTTTTCTTTACCGTTCACCTAGGTGGAAAAGTGGGAGGGAGAAAAAATAAGTATTTGTTTATTTGGGAAAAAAAAAAAAAGAAGAAAAAATTTTTAAGAGAGGAAAAAAAAAAAAATCAGTCCACTACCCTACTCCCCAATCAACATTTTAGGTCAGCTAGAGATCTTAAAAATTATGCACATACACTTGTATTTCTAACATTTATAGAACTGTAAAAAAAATAATAATAATAAGGTTAACACAATCTATGTAGGCCAATTAACTCAACCTAGAACAGTGCTAAAAATTTTAGGCCAAGTTAAACCTCTAAATGCATATATTCTTAATCTACATTTGCTGACATGGTTGAGAGAAAGATTACTCAGCACCCTTAATCACATCCAGCATTTTGCTAGTTATTTAAAAAAAGAGACAGAAAGAATATAAATGGTTCAGTGAAACCCATCACAACTGCTACAAAGTAACTCAAAGGTCACGGCATGTCAATAGCACTACCTTCACATAAAAGTCCAAGTCCTTCCTGGAATAATTCAATCCAAGCCAATCCTGCCATATTGAGTGCCCCTTGATATCTTCCCTATATAAACACCCCATATGTTCAACAATTACTAAAATAGAATTGGGCACTATCAGTTTTATTACTGACATAAATATTTGTTGTTGTTGTTGTTCAGTCATCTCAGTCATATCTGACTCTTCAAGAACCCATTTGGGGTTTTCTTGGCAAAGATACTGCCATTTATTTCTCTATAACATAAATATTTACAAACACTTAAAATGTCCAGCACAACAGGCAAGGTATTTATGTTCATACTAGTTATATAGTTGAACTTGATTATCTTTACCTTTGGCATTAAGAAGTAATAGTATTTGTAAAGTACTTTACATGTTATCTCATTTGATTCTCAACAATCCCATAGGTGATATAGTTGCACCCATCTTAAAGATGTGAAAAGTGAGTCTTAAGAGTCACATAGATAATGTCTGAAATCCTGTTTTCTAATTCTTTTCCTAATCCTATGTTTTTGCTCTTCTTTATATTCTCATCTATTTGCACAGTTCCTGGCACATACTATGCGCCTAAGACTGCTGAATGAAGCAGGATTCAAACTTAGGTTTTCTTGACTCAAAATCTAGTATTCCATCTACTGTGACACTTAGCTGTCTAATTAATTAAAAGCTAGATTGCACAGTGAATGCTGTAGAAGTTCAGAAAAAGAGACCACTAAAGATCCACTTAATGAGCACTTCATGGGGGAAACTATAGAGTTGAGAAAACTACAATCCTTCTACTTAGACAGGTTTGCAAATTTGTTTCATCCCTGACTCCTCTCTTTCATTCATCTCACATATTCAATCAGTTGCCAAAACTTATTGTTTCTGCCTCTACAGTATCTCTTGAATTTGACCCCCTTCTCATCCACAGAGCCATCATTCTAATTCAGACCATCATCAACCTGGTGCCTGGATTTAACTCCTGATTTGTTCCTTGCCTCAGGTCTCTTCTCATTTGAATACATTCTCCACACAGCTGACGATGATCTCCCTAAAACACAGATGAAATATTTGCCTTCTCAATAAACTCCATCGCATCTTATTATCTCTCTCTCTCTCTTTTTTTTGGGGGGGGGGCCTACGCAATGGGGTGAAGTGACTTGCCCAGGTTCACACAGCTAGTAAATGTCAAGTGTGTAAGGCCAATTTTGAACTCAGGTCCTCCGGACTCCAGGACCGGTGCTCTATCCACTGCATCACCTAGCTGCCCCAACCTTAACATCTCATGAGTCAAATACAAATTCTACCTGGCGCTAAAAACCCTTCACAATCTGGTTCCAACCTATCTTTCCAGACTTGTTTTACATTATTTCCCTCATGGTCGCTATACGCCAAACAGACCTTACAGTTGTTATTTCCTGTCTCTGTGCTTTTGCATTGGCTGGCTGCCTTCCAAATATGAAATGTTCTTCTTCCTCAAAAACGCCTCTTAAGACTCTCTATACTCCTTCAAGCCTAGATCAAGTGTCACCTTTTACATGAGGCTTTTTCTGATCCCCATCTGCTAATGCCTTCTTCCCCCTGAAAGCAGCCTTTATCATTTTTATATATACTTCTGTGTTAGAGGTACTTAACCCTTTTTTTTAATGTGACAGGGACTCCTAAGGCAATCTGCTGAAGCCTATGGATGGACCTTCCTCAAAATAATGCTTTTAAGTGCATAAAATAAAACACACAATATTACAAAAGAAACCAATTATACTGAAATACAGCTATCAAAATACTGAAAAAAACCAATTCATGGACCCAAAGTTAAGAACCTGTGTTCTATATGAACGTGTTGTCTCCTTCAAAAGAATGTAAGCTCCTTGAGGGCAGGAATTGTTTCACATTGCAACAATAGAGGACTAATACTTATTGACTGAATGGGCCCAGAACAAGAGTAGTACATAAAGAGTGATCTAGATCATATCTGAGAAATTGTGCAGAATATTCAACGATCCAAAGCTGCTCTGCACCACAAAGACCCTACTATTTAACACCAATATTCTTCCACTGATGGCAAAAAGCTTCAAATCCTTGAACAGTATAACATCAGAAGAACCAAAATTACAAATAACTCAAAAGATAATATAAAACTGACCCTAGAATTGGAGTCATACAAACACAAAATTTCAAAACAAAGAAAAGGAAAGAGGACTGTATAAGAAATTGTTGCATTTATTTAAGAACTACACATATTAAATTTAACATGGTTGTGTTCTGTTTGTGTACATTTCTGCATTTTCTTCTTTTGTGCATTTCAAGAAATATTTTATTGATGCTTTTTTCTCATGTCTATCACTATCTCGTAACCATGCTCCGACTCTCCACTCCCCCCATACCATCAAGCAGAAAACCTCCCTTGCAACAAATATGTATAATCATGCAAATAAATCAATACTTAGGTTATGTGTAAGAATACACAGCTCCTTTTGTGTCTCTGGTCCATCACTTTTTTGCCACCACAGATGAGGTATATTTCAGCCTGGATCTACCTAAGTAAGATCAATAGCTGCTGCTTTGGTCAGGGTTCTAAAGTCTTTCAAAGTCATTTCCCCTCATACTATTAATGTGGTCACTTGTGCAACATGCCCTCCTAGTTCTACTCCTTTCATTCTGCATCTCATCTAAGTCTTCTTATATTTCTCTATATATGTCATAATTAGGATTTCTTATTCACATTCCACAGTTTGTTCAGTCATTTCCCAGCAGATAAGTATCTATTCTGATTCCAGTTCTTTGCCACAACAATTAAGTACTACTATATCCTTTTTTAATCACTGTTTTTTTCCAATCAGCAAAAATTCACATTCTTGATTCAGCCAAGTTCCAATCAAACTTCAGATACTTACTGGTTGTGTGATCTTGGGCAAATCACTTAACAACTGTTTGCCTCAGCTTCTTCAACTGTAAAATGGGGATAATAACAACACCTACTTCACAGGGTTGCTGTGAAGGTTAAATGAAGTATCTGTAAAAGTGCTTATTAGGCACAGTCCCAGCACACTATAGGTGCTACATAAATGCTTATTCTTTTCCTTTTCCTATTGCTCCCTACCTTCACTTCCCAACCCTCCCACTGAGAAAGAAAAATAAAACCTGTTAAAAA